GCGGAGGCGAGCTTCCCGGCGACGGTGGCGCCGGCTCGAGGCGTGGGAGCGGCCGATGCGGGGTCGGTTGGATCGAGGCGTGGGAGCGGCGGATGCGGCGGCGGCAGCACGAGAAGAGCAACGGCGGCGGCGGCGACCTATGAAGAGGCGAGAGGAGCGGTGGTGGCGGCGTCGAGCTGCGAAGAGGCGTCGCTCGGGCGCGAGACCACGGAGGCTGGAGCGGCTGCTTCGGGCCCCGATCTGAGAGGGTACGAGGCAGGGAAGGACGGCATCGTCGCCGTCACAGGTCTTCCTTCAGTCCCTTTCGTTCCCTCTCCGGTTCATCCTCTTCCCACCCTCGTATTAGGAAAGTTCTATTAGGATCCGGTGCCACCGTGCGCCATGATTTCAGATTGGCTTGCCTGCTACCCCGAACGGATGCGCCACCCAGTCAGCCGAGCGATGGCAGAATATGCTTTTGTAGAACTGCATATCTATTTGTTATGAATCTAGAGTCTCAAAGCCAATAAGTTGCTAAATCATTGACTGGCTGTTTCCATGTTTGTATTATGCGCTTCTCACTCGGCGAGGGGAGCATTAGGCCTCCTATGGTCTGGATTTCTCCAAATGATTAGGCTTTGCGAAAATTGTGTACGCATGTCTTACAGCCTGGGTATTGCTCTTCTAGATATACTCTATTGTTTTTGTTCACTTAATTCTAATGAGTATTTAAACTTCTTCAAGCATATTGGACTTTTGAATCTATGTAGCCAGCACTTTGGAATTTATCTAGACAAGTATTTTTGGTAATGATATGTATTTGCAAGCTTACTTCTCAGTTTTTCTATTGTTGGGTACATATAGATAATTTCGTTGGGTATCTACAAAGTACATATAGATAATTTTCGACCATTTGTGACTGAAAGATTTTTGCCATAAGAAAATTAACTCTGTCGAGCAGTGCTCGTTGTCAAGGAAATGACGGGAAATTGCTGAGCCTTATTGATTGGAAGAGGAATGCTAATCCTACAAATAGATCTATAATGAATTGGACTTGAGAACAATCAACAAATAATAAACAGTCCCAAATTTGTAGATGTTGTTTGATTCAAATACCGATTTAAGCATTTGGCGCATCTAAAATTCATCAAAAAGGATGTGCGATTTTCTGCCTAATCACTTAGTGTATTGTTTGGTAATCAGGTTATCCTGGACCTCTTTGGGGACAACATCACCAAGTTTCCTTCTTATTGCACTGCAAGTTAAAAAAAGTCAGTGACTAATGACTCTTCTTATCTCTTTGTTCATCCATGTGCTTAGCTGCAAAAATTCTAAAAAGATACCCCTAATGAGGGGTGGCGGATGTGCGTCCTCTAGGGCCTCGTCGGCCAGAGAAGGAGGGGAGGAGCGGTTGCCGACGAGCGAGGTGGCTCTGTTTGGACCGGCCATGGTGTTGGCTGTTGACTCCCACCGGTCTTGTCTCCCCCAACCCTTCCATGGAGCTCGCTTAGCCACCGGCCGGCACATCTTCTTGCTTACAACACCAAGGTAGGCAAAAATTCTTTTTTTCCCCATGATGTGGTTTCTTTTGCTTGGATGGATTACAACTGGTTGGGAGTAGCGGATGTGTGAAGTTTTGCCCGTAATCTAAATTCTGCATTTTATCTAGCTAAGTTAAGCAAAAGCTTGTTTTTTTACAACGACTGAAGCAAAATCATTCCCTTGCAGGCCATGTAGCTTACTTTTTAACTGTTATTGCTGATTGGAGCCATTGCTATTGGCTATTTATACATAAGATGGAAGGTGAATTGAAATTTTTGTGAGGGGGATTGGATTTTATCCAGATGGCTTGCTTCTCGTGATGAGACTGATACTAATGAACTAATGAAGACATGAAGGTTGCATCTTATCCCCATTTCCCTTTCTACATTTGCCATTTAGTCGATTAACATACATTGTACTATTTCCCTTTCTATAGTTGCCATTTAGTTGATTAACATACATTGTACTATTTTCGGTTAAGCACACTATGGGTCAATGAATGTGGAATTAGCTACTTTTTATATCCCTGGACCATATATATTACATGCATCAGTACTTGATGCATCTCTGATATGCTTTTGCTTTTTATTGTTACCCTTAATTACTACTTTTCTATGAACCCAATGTTTAGGTTGCAGGCTCAACTGCATATCTATATTCTCTGTATGAATTTTTTAGCTAGCTTTGAAGCGAATGTGGTGATCAAGGCTCTAATATGTATTCTTTATTTGCATGAATGTTGTGTGCATATAGGTACTTGCAATGGAATCTTTTTCTCATAGACGAGAAGTACTTTGAAAACAGATTTTAAAAATTGATATAATTTTACAAGTGTGCAGATAGTTGACAAGGCAACAATGCTATTGTTCAAATGTAGTCGAGCCGGGCCTTTGGTGTTTTCGGTGCTATTGTTCAAATTTTGCTTTCTTAGATTCATTGCAACCAAAAGATTTGGTAATATTTTTTTTCTGGAAACATGGATACACTTGTTGGTGTTGTATACTGGGATCTGTAAGTATTGTCATAGGAATTTTTTTATCCTAAGGATTCACACAGATTGGAGGGGAATTAGTATCTAACATCTTGTTAAATGTACACAAACTGGTATATCTTCATGGCTTTTAAGCTATATAATTGTAGATGATAATTTATGCTTTGATAAAGTAATATCTTACTTCTCGGTGCTTGGATAAAATAGTATAGTTTGCTGAAAATATGTTCATACTTTATATCACAGAAGTACAAACTGACAATCAGCCTATGGTGAAGTTAAAAGAAGCAAAAGTACTGTGTGTATAATCATTAGATTTGTTAAGGTGAATCAGATTTATTTTTGCTGCTGTACGTAGAATGCAGTTTATCTTAATTCCTGTTGCTGCGTTTGGCCCTACATGTCGATGGGTGTGGCCGCTCCCTTGTTAGTTTGTTGCTCGATTTGGTTTGGTCCAAGGTAGGCTGTGTGTTGTCTACGTCTGTATATTCGTTGGCTGGATAAGAAGATTTTGCAGGTTTTTCTCTGGTATGGTTGCTTCTGCTCTGAGTGCAGGTTCCTATGATTTCTAGACAGTGTATTGGTTTTAAGGATTGCTCGGTTAGTTTAAAAGTGCTTTGATTTCCTTCTTGTCTTCTCGCACAGACCTTGAAGATGGCTAGGTTTGCATGGGCATGGGGTTTGGTACACCTGGCCTCTATTTAGATTTGTTAATAAATTCAGTTTATCACGAACACCATAAATGTGTTATCAGTTTACTATCTTGGCACATGAGCTATTTTTCAGTCAATGCGTGCCGAGTCCACTTGGAACTGAATATGTAGTGTTTTCTTTGAAACTGAGTAACTGTGGTTGAAATTTAGTTTCATTTGGACGAGCTACCCAAGTATCATCAATTCATGATGGCTAATTTATCTTGGTTCTTGATGAATCCGCCATGGTCCTGATTTAAGAGTTTTTATGTTATTTCTCAGCCTATTTGAGCTATTATCGTTCTGTTTAACACACACAATTGTAGCTGCCCTTTTTGATTCAGAAAAATGGTCTTCATGTCTGTGGTTTGGTTAAACATTTTCTCAGCATATCTCTATTCATCAGTCTTAACTCGCATAACATCCAATATAGTTTGTCTGATCCAGACTAAATGTTGGTTGTTGCTATGTTTTGTGTGCAGTCTATTTCTCTTCTATCTTGGTCATTAAAGATGTGACAAGAAAGAAATTTCAAAAGGTTTGATAATCTAGAATGCTCATATGGAGTTATTTGAACCAGTTCTTTTAGTAGCTGCTGAGACCAGATGTATCAGAAAAATTTAAAATATACCAACAGTAGGGTTGACCAATAATGCTGAATTGATTCAGTCTTCAGGCCTTATGCACAATTTCCACAGTGTTAAGATAATATATGCTTTAATGCTCCTGTGCACTGCTTTAATGCTTCTGCTTGTT